TGCTGTGCATTTAGAGAAAAGTTGCATTAAGAGAGGTTGCATTTAGAGAGGTCTGACTGTATTAGAGAAAATCTTCAAATCTTCGTTATAACAGAAGTTCGTTATAGCCAGCTTTGACTGTAGTTGAAAGAGGCTCTGTTTTTATATAATAATAAATGAAGTCAATCTGCAATATCTATTGCTTATCATATAATGACTTAAACGCTCCTTGAACAAACAGTTTATATACAAAGTCAGGATTTACTATTACCATTACTATTGTTGATTCTGAATAAATTGTATAATATTTATAATAATCGAATATGTTATGAAACTGAATGATGCATTTATTGTTTTCATACTCGGACCAATTCTTTCTCAATATCGTCTAAAGTAGATTGCGAGGAATTTTTATTCACAGCAAGGTGCTCGCTAAAGTAAAAGCCCAGTTTAAGCTGTTGATATCATATAAAGCAGTGCATATAATTATATTATACCCGCTCGATCACGTGAACTTAACATTTGCAACAAAGTCGCCACAAGTTAAGGAGATCATACATATATATTAGCATCCAGCAGAGACAGATGCCAGTCTTTATGCTTCGCTCAGACGAAGTCTTAAAACTGAATTGTCAAAACTTACATGGAGAGATCCTGAAGCAAGCACTGTTGTCGGTCATGGTTAGAATGTGTTATTATTTGCTTAAATACAAAAGTCTAGCTAGTAAGCTAGACGAAACGTAAAAATAGATGAAGAGCGAATGGGAAAGAAGGCAGATATTATGGGGTTGATGAAACAAATTGAGAGCTTATGTACGTTGAATCTTCCGTATCATTTGCACGAATTAGATGACGATGTAAAATGCATGGCGCAGACCGGCTTGTAAGCAATCTGCATTGTGGGAATCCAGACTGCTGGAACAGACACGTTCTTGTATAGAAAGTGTATCTTTTTTTATTCGGCTTTTGTCAATCCGCATAACAGCTAGCATTTATATTAATGCCAGGTTGTTGGATGAAAAAACTGTAGCAGAAACAATACCAGAAAAAATAACAGAAGGTGAACACAAAAGTCATAAATATGGTATTCAACTTTCGAAAGATCAAAGTAAAACGATTATCGTAATAGACAAAAGTAATTACTTTCACGCCGTGAGACAGATCATCACAGATATAATGACTCTAATCGTTGATACATACACCAGTTAGTACTTTGTTGGTAAACGTACGACTACAGAGTAAGTAGCAAATGATATAGATATTGATATTGTCAAACAAAAATTACAATTGGAATCTTTTCTTTGAAACTTTACATTCAAATTTTAAACAATAAGCGTACACCGTCCTAACAATCGCCCTAATGACATCTTAATTTAAATGTTACTTTTTACTCTTTCGGTGTCTCTTTGTAGGCACCGTGTCCGAAAGATAACGGAATCACTTGCGGCAGATCAACTCTAGCAATTTTTAGCAGCTCCTTATTAATTATCATCATTTACCACTATTATTCTGTTATTATGTTGCGGCATCATTACATTAATTTTATCATCATCTTAAGCTCGTATCATCACAATAACCATAATAATTATATCATAAGATGTTTTTCCTCAAAAAAAGCTATTACTATTACTTATTTCTTTATTAACCTACGTTTTCAGGAGATGAAGAATATTAATCAATATATTTGTACTGTGCAATAACATTTGATGAATTATTGACTACATATTAAACGTTTACAAGTAGATCTGGTACTGGTCAATCAAAGGATTATATCATCAAATTTAGATCAATGTGATTAATAGTAACCAAAACCACACATTTTTAGTTCTCTCGTAAATAATATATATAATGATAAATAAATTTATATATAATTATATTTACAATAATAAATCTATTACATATTACATTAGCTACTCTACTCTACAACAACCATGGATGTAGATGTGGTATTTAACTGCACAACCTCTTGTTGTGTCTTGGATGTTAATACATGTAAAATATCTTTAGAGGGAGTTATTACAACTGAATGATGTGCTCTTCCTGTCATGTCATTTTTTTTCTATGAATAATCTCCTGATTGTAAAAACTAAAAAAAAAAAACCCACTATTACCGCTATGAACATATTGTGAACGGCGATTTGATCATATGATTGCTGCGGTACTGAGATAGAGTAGCTCAGTATGATGATCATTTCGAATG